TTCCAATTAATCACCTCCATGCACGACAAAATCATGGATTCTAGGTTACGTTCGAATGCATGTTGTGCATATCAGAAGCGGCTGGCCACGTCGCGCTAATCGTATCGATCGAGCACTCTTAATCCATTAATGAACTTCCCAGGCTCGTTTTACCCTGGGTATCCGGGCTTTTCGCAGGCGCCGTCTGTATCTGTTACATCCCGCCACCAAGTGTGTGTACGTGTATGTGAGAGTATGCGCCTTTACTTCACGTACGTTCGCTGACAAAAGTTTCAATTAAAACTGTTTCAATTACTTTAATTTGTGGTGTGTAGATAATTTTTAATATCACCTTACATTTATACATCTTTATTATATAATATCATGGTAAAGAGAAATTAGTTAATTATATATAATGCATTGTTATTTAAAATATCGAAAACTCATAAATTCTAAGACATAAGATAGCTCTTCGAATGTATTTTTATTCTCATTATTTACTTTGCAAATTAAACTTTGCATTTTTTAATGATTTTTTAATGTATTTGGAGATCATCATTTTTAGGTGATGATTATCAGCACTTTTGGCTAGGACTTTACAAGCGTACGTATGTATTTGTATAATGCGACACTTTACAGACTCTTGTTGGTTGACAGTGATTTTCCATAGGATACAAAACTGTCGTTAGACCCTTTTGCGAAAAGGTCTGTCTCCAACCCTCATGTACGCAGTTCACCTAAAACTTTTCCTACGAACCGCACACGAGGGTGTAACGCTGTATAGCGAAGGGTTAGAAATTTCTCATTGTTCCTCTTTTTTTCCGCATCTTTCTTGCATTTATGTCTGATGCTTTGCTAAAATTTAGAATTTCTTCTTTCTTGAATGGAAATAATTACAAGAGATTGTTGTACCTTAATCACAAAGTGAGGCAAACGTAAGATTGCAATCGCACTTTTTTGTCGATGCTCGATCACACACACATACACACACCCACACCCACACCCACACACACACACACACACACACACACACACACACACATAGGACAATATAAATAATAAAAATTATATATCTATATATATTTTTATCGGTTCTTGGCATTTTCTGTATGCAAAGCTATGAAAATCGCCCGAAATTCCTTTAACAGAACCGCCAAACAAGCGATGAGTCTCTCACGCCGCCTTCATCCGACAACAAATTCCTCAAATATTTATCTGTCTTGCACCCTCGAATCTTTCTAGTACGTCGCCCCAAACGCCACTTCCGTTTCGTACTCGGCGAATGTGTCAATTCTGACGCCTATCGACATATGACAAACACCCTTCTCGTTTCCCACTACTTGTCGTCTTGTCGTTTCTGACATGCCTGACAATCGGGACAAAGTAACGACGTAACAGGGAGAAAGTTGAAGGCGAAGATACGGCGATTTTGACATTCTTTTTTAAATAACTTGTAGAAAGTACGATATTAAAAGTCAATCAATTACATTTATATTTTAGTTAATATATTTGTTAATTCCCCCATAACTGAATATATTTGGTGACTTTTGAATAATTTCTTACATAATATAATTTTAAATAGTATAATGATTTGGAATAATTTTATGTTACACAATCTTATTTTTCACAATTTTATTCTGTTTAAGTAAAATAATTATCGTAATATATTTATGTTAAGTTCAAGTATTGCAACTTTTTATAGTCAAAAATTTGAAAACTATAACAGAAAACATTTTAGCGAGTTCCAATGATCCATATATTTTTTTTAGCGTCATAAAATATATGTATTTCTACGGATTAATATAGTTTTCTTAAAAATCAAAATTAGCCAGTAAGAATTTCAATTGTTCAATATACGTATTCTTAATTTAATGATAAATTACGGACAACTAGCGATTTACGCATAAAGAATTTACGCATAAAAAATATATTCTAACCACGAAGTAAATAAAAAAATTTCTGACATGTCCAGTCCATTCCTAAATCTTCTATATCAGATAGGAATCTCCGTCGATTAAATTGAATGTTCGTGACATGTTTCACGCACCGGCTGCATGCAATTAATTTATTTTTCCCCGCTCGAGCGTTAATTGTTAAACTTAGATGAGCGGTCGTCGACGATTCCGCAGTTAGACTTCGAGATGGAAAGAAGGAGACAACTAGCTACTAAGAAGAGAGAAGAGAAGAGACAAGGATGCGACCGGACGTCCAATGTGAACAGGACGAAGAAAGACGAAGAAGGATGATCGTACGAAAGACGGTGAAGAAGAATCGAGGAGGGTTGCCGCCTAGGCCAGCGGCAGACCGAGATGAGAGAATTGAGAAGTTCCGAAGGGAAGCGGGAAGCCAAAGACATGTCGCGACAGATAGATTGGGTTACTGAGATAATTAGAACGATGAGCGATGCACGCCTCGTTGAACGATTCTTTTTAGTCAGTCGGCGGTTGGTTTCGTGTTTTCCAAAGAAGCGATAAAGGAAAGTGCCGCCGAGGGAAGATACGATCACTGAGCATGCCATGTCCAGGAATCACGAGAGGGTACGGCGCGTTTCCTCGTCGATAAGTCTCAACAACGAAGATATTACGGCACCCTAGTGACATATTTTTATGCGCCGCAGCTACGACGTCGTCGTGCGATTGGTCGTTGAAGTCGGCGTCCCCGTGAGATCGCTTGACCGGAAATGTGTTGCCGTCGTAAAAACATCCACGGCACGTTTGTTCGACCGGAATATATTTATCGCGATTTCTCCGTGAGCAACGATATTCCTTGGCAATCTTCTCCTCATCGGCAGAACTTTAGGAAACGCGATCTACTAGAGATATATCGTAACGCTGTAACGCTACAAGTAACGCTATAAGTAAATCCGTTATCAGAAGCGAAGATCTGTTTTTTCCTTTCGATTTCGCACAGTTTTCAGATTACGAGCTCTGCGCACTCTGCGCACGACGTCGCGCTTGACTTTACTCTATTTGCGTTGAGGGACAGCTGAATATTTAATCGGCTCTTCTCAACCAACCCCGCCTCCTTTGCTCCTCCACAAACCCCGCTTCTCGTCCGCGACTCTCAGTCCCAGTTGCGGTGAATTATTTAACGCCTGCAGGGAGACAGTTATCTATGCGAACCGACGTGTCAGCGAGATTTTAGTATTGTTTGTTTATTGTTTCTCTGTCACGTACGCAATCAATGACTGTGCAACTCTCGAAGCACCGCTGTGCCATGAACTGCATTAATATGTAGTATAATAATAATACTTGGAATGAGCCGGTCATGTCAGAAATTCAATTTATCAGACGCACAATTGAATGAATGATTAAATTAAATAGATAATTAATTGAAGAAACAAAGTCTGAAGAGAGAGAATAAAGTAGAATATCAATTTTTATTTGATGTATTCTTCTAACACGTATGATTAATTTGTACATATTTAATATTGTAATATAATATGATTATCTCATAAGACAAGTATTATGAGATTATATCAAAATTTATAATTAAAAGAAAGAATTAACAATAATGATTTTATTGTGTTTTGAATAGATATTTAGAAGAGAAAAGTTAAGCTTAATTCTGTCAGCGCGTATTTTTATCTCATTCGTGCATAGAAATGCTGAAATATTCCGGTTCAAATAAGTCGAAGACGAGGTGGCAAGATATTTGCAGGAGTTTCCCCTTGTTGAAACCAAATCGGTAAATGCATAGGGCGATTGTTCGACAAATAGAGGTTGGGAGTAAATAATGTGTAAACACAATTTCTGCTATGTATTGAGAAACGTAGTCTTCTACGCGCATACATTTTACACATGTTTTATGAAAAAATCAAATG